TAGCGGCCTGAGAATGCGAGAGGTTCCCAAGGTTTTTGCAATATTTTTCCGAAAAAAATAAATGATAAAACCAGGTTTCGCATGAGACCCCCGCAGGTTTTTATAAATCCATTGGGTTGGGCTGATGTAAAACACCAAAGAGAGTCTCAAGCGAAACTGTGTTTTGCTGTGTGAAGTCAATGTAGAAAACAATGAAAAAGCAGGTTTCGCTTGAGACCCCCTCCGGATTTTACAGCAGCCAAGCTCCATGGATTTATAACATGTTGAAAGAGTCTCAAGCGAAACCTTGCTTATTTCTATATATATATATATATATATAAAAAAAAAATGGGGACCTCACACAGGTCCAGACCGCTCAAGATCCCCACAAAAGGAATCAATTTGTAATTCGCCACAAAAGAGTTTCCTTTGTAATCCGCCACACAAGGAATCAATTTGTAATCCGCCACAAAAGGATTCACTTTGTAATTCGCCACATAAGGATTTCTTTTTGTAATCCGCCACAAAAGGAATCAATTTGTAATCCGCCACAAAAAGGATTCCCCTTGTAATTCTCCACAAAAGGATTCCCTTTGTAATCCGCCACAAAAGGGATCAACTTGTAATCCTCTACAAAAGGATTCCCTTTGTAATCCGCCACAAAAAGAATCAGTTTGTAAACCCGCCAAAAAGGGAATCAATTTGTAATCGGCCACAAAAGGAATCAATTTGTAATTCGAGACAATTGAGCGGCCGGGAGGGCCGCTCAATACGAGACAATTCTAAAGGAATCAGAGGTCGGCAGGTTTTGAATGTTTTTTTTTTTTTTTTTTTTTTTATATATATATAAAAAAAAAAATTAAATGTTTTTAATCGAAAAACCAGGTTTCGCCTGAGACTCCCTCCAAACTTTTTAAATCCACTGGGCGCCGCTGCTGTGAAATTCTGAGGGAGTCTCAAGCGAGACCTGGATTTTCATTTTTTTCATTGGTTTTTGTTAAAAAACCAGGTTTCGCTTGAGACTCCTTCAGAATTTCACAGCAGCAGCGCCCAGTGGATTTAAAAAGTTTGGAGGGAGTCTCAAGCGAAACTTGGTATTTCGATATAAAAAATTTAAAAAATTAAGAAAATACCAAAAATTAAAATAAAAACCTGCCGACCTCTGATTCCTTTAGAATTGCGTCGTATTGAGCGGCCATCTCCCCATGAAGCGAATCCCGCATGCTCCCCCCGAGCATGCGGGAATCGCTTCATGGGGCCGCGGCGTCCCCCCATGAAGCGAATCCCGCATGCTCCCCCCGAGCATGCGGGAATTGCTTCATGCTGAGGCGTTCCCTTCAGAAGCAATCGCTTCCCTCATGCCGACCCCGCAACTTGCGTCGTCGCATCTTCGTTTTCGGCGTTGCTTGTTGTTGAGATGTTGTTCCCCTCCGAGGGGACTTCCAGAACACCCCGTTCTCGCATTTTGGGGCCAGCCTCTGCCTGTCTGGGACGCGCTCGCGCTCGCGCTCGCTCTTGACTGCCGCTGGCAGCTGGCTGGCTCTTCCGGCCTGCCTCCCGGCATCGCAGATCCGCCCGCCAAGAGGGCATGTGCCCGACCCGAGCTCGGGCTCGGGCTCGAGCTCGTGCTCGGCCCTGGTCCGGGGCCCCCGTGCCCTTGGGGATCCGCCGGCTCCTTGCCAAGGGGTGGGGGAAGCGAGGGGTGGCGGTGCCGCCACTCTTTCGGGTCTTGTGCAGTCTTGAAGCCAGGCTCGCGGAGAGGAGGATGGGGGACCAGGAGGAGGAGGAGGAGGAGGAGGAGGAGGAGGAGGAGGAGGAAAACGATGAAGACTACGGAGAGGTTGAGGAGGATAAGGAGAAGGTGCAGGAGGAGCAACAGCAGTAGCAGGAGGGCGCAGGATGAGCAGGAGGAGCAGGAGGGAAGAGAGGGGGAAAGGGACAAGCTAGGTGCGCTCGCGCCTCGTCTGACATCCTACTGCTCCCTCCCATCCTTCCCCATGGCGCTGCTGATGTTCCATTGCCCACGGACCTGGGACTCCCACTTCGTGGCATGCGCAGTGGGGAAAAGGGGAGCTGCGTGGACAGGGTGAGGAGGTGGCGGGTGAGCAGGAGGATGAGTGGGACAGGAAGAGGACGAGCAGCAAGGACAGGAAGAGGACGAACAGCAGGAGCAGGAAGAGGAAGAGGACGAACAGCAGGGACAGGCGAGAAGAGGATGAGTGGTCAGCAGGACAGGAAGAGGACGAACAGCAGCAGCAGCAGGAACTAGAGCGGAAGGGTAGTAAGGAAACGGAGGGCCAGGGAAAGGCGGAGTAGGGGAAATAAGGGGGGTGCCAACGATGAAGAAAGAATTGGATTCAGACAAGTGGCCCGCGCTGGGCCGAGAAGAACAGCAGAAAAAAGAAACTGGGGTGGGAGAAGCGAGAGGACCAGGAGGACCAGGTGAAGGCGGAGGAGGGGAAATGAGGGGCGTATTTATTTCCTTTCCCCAACCGCTTGTCTCGCTGGTTTTTGTTCCTAGTGCAAGTCTCAGCGACCTCGGTCACATCTTGTCGTTTTTTTCTCGAGAAACACCACGTTGTTGTGCAAATGTTGCATGTCTTACAATACGCGTGGAAATTCTTAACTCCATTGCAAGAATGGAGCAAGACTCTGATCTAGAGAAGAGGCCCGCGCTGGGGCGAGAGCGCTATACTGAACGACGGGAGCAAAGCGCCGATCCGAAATTGAGGCCTACGCTGCAGCAGGAGCGCCACTTTGAAACACCGGAAGCAATCGGATTGCACAACACCATTTGGAACAAACAATGTTTGAAGTCTTGTGTGCAAAAACACACCCTGGACAACTTCAGGGGAGGAGGGAGGGCACGATTCATACTATGGAGCAGGAGGAGGAGGACCAGTGCAAACCCAAGATTTATCAACCTTCTCCCAAGCTCCCTCTTCATAGGCCCCTACCAGGTTTCACTTCCACTGAGGGACGTGTCCCCATTGGGGGACAACCGTTTGAAGATCTTGAAGCTTGCCAAAACAGCATAATTGTAACTTCAACGCCACGTATCAACCTGACTGTTGCGCCCCGAAAATCCTGAATCATTCTAAATGTCGTTTCTGGTATGTCAACGATGGGAATAAGTGAAACCGCGTGCGAATGTTTAAGACGAGCGTGCGCGGCGCTAAACCGAGAGCCACATGTTGAAAAAGGAACCGTCCTCTATCCGGGAAGCTCTGGTATGTATGAAAACGAGCAGGCGCGGCGCTAAGGCGAGAGCCACAGTTTGAAGACCACCCGCCCTCGATCTGTGAAGCTCTTGCACTTTGTATGGCGAATGTTCGCGGCGCTGAAGCAAAAAACGCATTTCGATAACGACCCGCCTTCAACCCGTGACGCACTTGCAATTGCTGTATGCCGAATGTATGCCGAATGCGCGCGGCGCGAAGCCGAGAACCACATGTTGAAAACGATCCGGCCTCAATCCGCGAAGCTCCTGCCGTGTTTTAGGACGAGTGCGCGCGGCGCTTAAGCGAGAGCCACATTTTGGAAGCGGCCCGCCTTCTATCGATGAAGCTGTTGGTCTCAATGTTTGAGCTTCAGGGTCGTGAATGGTGAGGAAGTCTCACGCGAAACGCCCGGCCCGCCCTTTCGACCGTCTTCGGGGTGCGACGGGGAGGAGTTACGTCGAAGGAAAAAGGAATGCAGGATGAATGGGAGGAGGAGGAGGAGAAAGAGGAGGAGGAGGACGAGTGTGAACCCAAGACCCTCCCTCCAAGCTCCCTTTTCATAGGCCCCATACAGGGGTCCATTTCCACTGAGTTAACTGCCTCGTTGGAGGAGAACCCTTTGAAGACCATGAACCATTCCAAAACATTCTTCTCGGGACCCCAGCGCCACCCACGGACACGCCTGACTGCTGCGTCTTGACGATCCTGCATCGTACCAGAACGGGATGTCCTGGACTTCAGCACCGCAAATCAGTATAACTTTTGCGCCCTCGCAATGCTGAGTCCTTCCAAAATACAATGTGTGGCACCGTGGAATTATTGTTTAAACAATTGAGCGTACGCGGTGCGAACTAAGGCGAGAGCCATGTTTGAAAACCACCCGCCCTCAATCCGTGAATCTTTGTGAATTGTTACAGCGAATGTGCAGGGCGCTAAAGCGAGGGGCGCTAAGGCGAGAGCGAGATTTGGAAACGACCCGCCCTCGATCCGCGAAACTCTTGCAAGTTGTTACAACGAAGAGGTGCGCGGCGCTGAATCGAGAGCTACACTTTGAAAACGACCCGCCCTTCATCTGTTAATTCCTTGCAACTGTTGAAAGCGAATGCGCGCGGCGCTGAGGCGAGAGCCATATTTTGAAGACTACCCGCCCCCAATGTGTGAAACCGTTGCCAATGTTTAAGCTTCAGGGTCGTGAATGGTGAGGAAGTCTGAGGCGAAACGCCCGGCCCACCCTACAAACTGGCCTCGGGGTGCGAGGGGGAGAAGTTATTGATAAGGAGAAGGCATGGAAAAAGGGAGGAGGAACAGGGAGCTGGGGGAGGAGGAGGACGACGATTCCGACGATGAAGAAGAGTAGGAGGAGGAAGAGGAGGGGGAGGAGGAGGAGGAGGAGGAGGAGGAGGAGGAGGAGGAGGAGGAGGACGAATAGTAGGAGGAGCGAGGTGGAGGAGGAGGGAGGGAGGGAGGAAAGCAGGGAATGAGGGATGGAGGGAGGAGGGAGGAGGGAGGAGGGAGGAGGGAGGAGGAGGAGGAGGAGGAGGAGGAGGAGGAGGAGGAGGAGGAGGAGGGGAGGAAAAGGAGGAGCAGGAGGAGGAGTACCAGGGAGGAGGAGGACGACAACGTGGAGAAGGAGGAGGGAGGAAATGGAGGACGAGGACGGACAGAAGCATGAGGAGGAGCAGCAGCAGCAGGAAGAGGAGGAGATGGAGGACGACGACGCCGACGATGGCAGACGTTCGGCTGACCCCCCCTCCGCTCTTCACCGCCGCCGCCGTCGTCGTGCACGCCGCCCGGCCCGAGGATCTCCCTCGCCCGCCCCTGGGGCGACGTCAGCGGGGTGCCGCGCGCCGCCGCCGAGGCCGACAACTCCACGACCGCCGCTTCCGAGGCCGCCGCCGCCGCCGCATCTGCTGCCGCCGTCTCCGCCGCCGCCGCCGCCCCCGTCGCCGGCCGCCGTCGCCGCCACTGGCCGCACGCCGGAGGCCGCGGGGGTCCCGCGGGGGCTCGGCGCTCTCTGGGGCGCGCCGGCGTGCGGTTCCCCGAGCTGCGCAGTTCCTTCCGCGTTGGGCGCGAGTTCATGGGGGGCGATTCCTGGGGGGAGCAGAGAGTGCCCTTCTCGGGCCCGAAAGGCCCCCTCTGGGCCTTAAGGGCCCCTTGCTAGGGGCCCTAAAGCGCCCATTTTCTGCAGCCCTCGCTGCCCCCCCTTTTGTCGCCCCCCATCAATTCGCGCCAAATCGTGGGGGCCACGTGAGACGACTACCCGTATAGAGCGACCTTGCGCCAGAGTGCGACCTGATGTGCGGACCCCTTGGGGCCCCCCGATCTTTGAGTGCGATGCGGCTTGCGCGCCTGGTGGTGTCCCCAAAAGGCACCCTTGGGCCGCGCACCAGAGGTCACTCTTGCACAGGGTCGCTCCTGCGTGTAGCCGAGAGCACCGTGGCGCCCAGGCACATCCTCCTCCCCGCAGGCAAGCCCAAGACGCGCAGTGAAGCTACCAGCAGCATGTGCCACGTTGATCAGCCTCACCAGTCAGACAGGTGAGCCAGGTGAGAAGGCAGCAGTTGTCCAGGTCCTATCCTGTCTTGCCCTCCTGCTCCGCCGCCTTCTCTGACCGCGACGAGGCGCGAGCGAGGCGGTGCCTCTCGAGGAGCGCTCTCTTTTGGGAGGCCCCCGAGGCGGCAGTGTCTGGTGGCCGTCGGCCCGTCCGGCCACCCTCCCAGGGCTGTGGGCCGGAGGCCTCCCAGGATGCCTCCGGGGTGCCTCTCGGGCGCCTGCGGAGGCATCTCGGGGCCTCCTGGCTCAAGAGGGCTCTTGGGCCCAGTTCGGGTTCCCCCCTCCGGGGGCCCGAACGCCTTCCAAGATCAATTGTCTTTCGATGGTTCGCTGGCTCGGAGAAGGTCACGCTGGCTCGGAAACATGCTAGGATTTTCAGTATTTGGAGCAACCGAACGTCCCAAACACTGTAGAACAACCATAGTTCGAAGGGACCTCGGAAGTGTCTGAGGTTGAGCATGACCCAGAACGCGCAGATCTGTAATGTGTGTTGCAATATACTCACGGTGTCCAATAATATCTAGTTGTTCGTGATTTTGAGCATGTGTGTGTACAGTGCATCGTCGCTAGAGCCCATCTTGCTGTCTCGTCACATGTGGTGCGGCAGCGTGGTGTTATCGGTGTTCGTGCTGATCTTCGGTGTCGATGTTTCGAATTGCCGTCTATAGCCATGAGTTCGGTTGTGCCCACACACGTTTTCATCGAATTGCGCATTATCACGTTGATGCTCTGACGACCCGACGGTATATATGGGTTGCTCTGCCAACGACACCATGGACAACAATTTCAACAGCCTGACCGCGATTCATCCCAAGTGAGGTTTTCAGGATATCCTTGGTATCCAGGCTAAGGTCACATTCTTTCGCGTTCGGTCGCTGGCCTACTCCGCGCTGCTCCGCTCTGGATAATCAAGATCGTTTATCGTGTGCTTGTCATTGTCAGTTCAACTGCTCACTGATGTGGCCCGCTTGTTTGCACGGCGTTTGCTGGACATTTTTGTTGCAGCAACAGGCGGCCTGCCGGCACAGGATGTGTTAGCAACCGCCCGAGTAGATTCCGATGCCAGAGGGAGGCGGGTGATATCAAGGGTGAAAACCACCCCGACCCCCAAAATGGGCGTTCAGGAGGCGGCCCTGGGCGTTTAATGAACAGCCCTGCCCTGTTCGATTCCTGCCTTGGGTGCGTTTACTAACGGCGTCGCTTGTCCGGGTGTTTATTAAGTGAGTGGTTTTTCTGTCTTCTATGACAGGCCTCATCGTTCTTTGTGTTGGCTTCTCGTCGCCCCGCTTCTTTGGCGTGTCGTTCGGCCTCCTGCGCGCTGCGTTCCATGGGGCCCCTCATCGCGCACGTGTCTTTCGCGCCATATGTCGCCGCGCCCTTTTTTCCGAAACGTGGCCTTCCGTGCTGGGGAGGGCGCCTCGGCCACCAGGGCGAACGCCGCCTCGGACGCGATGGGTTCGACGTGGGTTTGCCGCGGTGCCGGCTTCGTCTACTTGGGGCGCGGGACGCAGGGCTTGCCGTTGGTTTGCCGTGGTGTCGGCGCCGTCCACTTGGGCGCGACGAGAACACACGGCGCGGCGACATATGTTGTAGTGCAGCAGTCGATGGTCTAGACGTTTGTTCTGAAGTCGGCCGGTCGTAATCGTGTTTTCAGAGCACAAGACGGTCAGGGTGCAGAATTGCCAGCGCCTGAGGGGGCCGAGAGCACGGTCAGGTGTCCAAGCCCGCGCGGTTCGCTGGGCGGTCCGCGCGCGCCCGTTCTGTGCGCCCGTATGGCCGTGGGTCAACATCTAGCGTTGGGTAGCGCCTCGAGTTCAAGTCCCCATATCCTCGATGGGGTTATTGGTATTAGTGTGACGTGTCCGCCTCCTCCTCACTCACCCGCCTCCCTCGTCCATTCATGTACGAATCTCAACTCAATTACACACAGGTCCGCTCTCACTCATACTTGCCGTAGTCGACTTTACCTATACTTCGCCAATCATACTTCTGATCTCTCGCACTCGTACTAATTCAGGATCGAGTCATTGACATTCAGACCCGCTCATATTCAGGCTCACTCACAGTCGGACCCACTGACAGACTCACTCATACCCAAATCAACGCATACTCCTACTCATTCACACCCAGACATATTCATACTGATGAGACGACCCATACCGTGAGCACATACACACACTCAAATGTATTGATACCAAGGCGCGCTCATATTCATATTAATTCATGCTCACACCATATCTACTACGATCTAGCTGACATAGCACTTGGGCCCCAAGGAGGAGCCGCAGGGGTGGGGGACATGTCTTTTTTTGCGGCCAGATTGGGGCGATGTTTCTAGCGGTTCGCTCGTTTGGCGTCGCCGATGTCTTTCTTTTGGGAGCTTCATAATCGCCGTGATATAGCAGGCACAGCACTCGGGCACCTCAAGAGTCGGCAGAGGGGGGAGAACATCTGCCCGTTCGCAGCCAGATTGGTCCTTTGGCGTCGCCGACCTCTTTTGGGATCTTCATGATCGCCACGACATGGCAGGCATAGCACTTGGACACCCAAAGGAGGAGGAACCGCCAGGAGTTGCTACACTTGCCTGTTCGTGGGCAGACTGTGGGGATGTCTCAAGTGGTTCAGTCACTTGGCATCGCCGACTCCTTGCTTTTGATAGCTTAACGATCTCCGCGATATAGTAGGCATAGCATTTGGGTACCCAAAGGAGGAGCCTTGGGCACCCCAGGGGAGAGCCGCCAAGGAGTGTTGCACTTGCCCGTTCAGGCCCAGCTCGTGGGAATGTGTCATGCGGAACACTGGCTTGGGGCCACCGCGAACTCCTCTCCTCTCAGCGGCCCACGGTCATCCCGATGTAGCAGCAGGCATCGCACGCAGGCGCTCTAAGGATCAGGCGATCGCAAACATGGATCAAGGGGGCGTGGATTAGCGACGGGCCCCGTTTCCATGGGAAACCGCGGATTCCTGCCGCCGACTAAGAGGCGGCACCGGCCGCATTTTGGGGAGGGCACCTCCCCCGATCCATGCCTGCGCGCCCCCGAAAGGAGGCGCCACCTGCGAGCGCTCGGCCGCCACGGGCCGAGACCGCCCCACGCAGACAGCCCAGAATCCTCCCTTTAGTCAGGAGGGGAAAAAGCACACAGACACTATTCACCGTCCACTCCCAGGAAAATCTGGGAAACTATGGGAAGTGGGGGGGAAGACCCAACAAATATGAAAATATTTGCGTGTCCCAGGGCCCCTTTCGCCGGATAAGCTCGTGCTCCTGCTGCTCGCCAGCATAGGCGGCGTGGCTTGGCAAACCATGCGGCTTAACGAAGGAGCTGTCCGAACGTGGCGCCACGACAGTAACAGCGGCCAGGTCTTCGGCGATGGCTGGGGCGAGAGGGCTTCGCATTCTTTTTTGGAAGCGGGAATTGCCAGGAGAAATGGAATGCACACATGGGGGGACCTCCGCGTCGAATCGGTGTGCCAGTTTCGGCCGCCCGGCCCCTCGTCCCCGCTTCCTCTCCCGCCTGCCTCCTGCCCCGAGGCTCGGGCCGGACGAAACGGGGGGGATTGGGAAAGGGGGGGTTACGAAATCTGTTGCGTGCAGCTGGTTTCGGCCCCGCCGCCGGGCCCATTCCTCGATACATGGGCGCCTCCATCGCTGGGAGGCGCCGGGAGGATCAGCCACGTGAGCTGATTCTCAAGCCCCCCCTTTGCTATCCCCCCCTTTGGCCCGACCCGAGAGGCCCCGAAAAAAGGGCGGGGGCTCCCCGGAGGCCTCCGAGCTCCAGCCCACCGAAGCCTCCGAGCGCGCCGGCCCTCCTCGCACCCACCACCAAGAGGCCTCCCGGCGTCGCAGCCCCCCCCCCCCGCACCACATGGACTGCAGGAGGAGAAAAGGCACAGAGACACAATTGATCGTCGATCCCCCAGGAAGATGTGGGAAAATATGGGAAGTGGGGGGGAAGACAGAAGCCCAGAAAGAATGGGAAGATATGGGGAGTCTTTTCTATTTGTGTGTGTGTTGATTTGTGTGTCCCAGGGCCCCTTCAACCTTGGACTCCTGGAGGTCTGGAGCCCTTCTCCAGGACCGACATGTCTGGGGTCCAGCTGGAAGGGGGTGGTGCAACAGATTTGGGGCGATGGGATTGCAGATGCAACGCGTCGGAAAATGGAATTGCATTGTATGGCAAGTAATGCAGTGCACGCGAAGATGCAGCAATACATTTGCGCCCCGGTAGGCGGTGCACGCCCCAGATGGATTGCAAACCCACAAATCGATTGCACCAAATCCAAAGCTATTGCACCACCCCCTTGTAGCTGGACCCCCTTTTGGGTCAACCCGATTGTTTGGCGGCCACGCGGGGCCCAGTGACTTTTCCCATGGCCAGACATGGCCGAAAGGTGTCCGACGTAAGTTCTCGGCTCGCACATCGAAATGGGTCTGGACCTTCCTCCCTCTTCACGTTCGGTGAACGTCGAGGGCTAGGATTGCAGCGCCAGTACGGCAACATATGCGTGCGCATGTACATCCACTTAGGCAGAATGGGCGCAAATGGGCCCTCCTTCGGACAGGGTTAGGACGAGGATACATTCGTTCCAGAGCGTCCTGGAACGCTCTCAGAGCGTTCCAGTGACGCTCTGAGAAAGCCGCTGCGCCCGAGACATCCTCCAGAGCCGCCGGATCTCAGGGATTCTCGCTGTGTCCTCACCCGATGTTATATCCTCGTCCTGGCTTCGTCTTGCTCCTCCTCCCTCTCCCCCCCCTCCCCCAGGAGGGCACCAACCATACACCTGCACCGATCCTGGCCAGGCCGATCCCGGGCCCAGGACCGGTGCACACATGCCTCCTGCCCGAGGCAGGAGGGCGTATGCACGGACTCCTGGGCCCAGGGTGGCCCTGGCCAGGGCCGGTGCTGGTGTAGCGTCAGAATACCATCCCCCCCACACAAACGCTCCAAAACGAACCCAGAGTGCCCTAAGAAGCCCCTCCCCTCCTCCTCCTCCTCCCTCCTCCTCCTCCTCCTCCTCCTCCTCCTCCTCCTCCTCCTCCTCCTCCTCCTCCTCCTCCTCCTCCTCCTCCTCCTCCTCCTCCTCCTCCGACGCGGCCAGGCCAGCGCCGCCGCCGCGGAGCCGGCGCGGCCCGCGGCCGCGGGCCCCAGTGGGGCTTCAGGCGGGCGGCGGCGGGCGGCGGGCGGGGGGTCGGTGTGCACCCGCTCCTGGGCCCAGCGTGCGCCTGGCCAGCGCCTGTCCGTGCAGGGAGGGCTGAGTCTCCACCACCACCACAAGTAGGAGGGGGAGGGGGTCCTCCTCATCATCATCCTCCTCCACCTCCTTCCCCCCTCCAACTCATGGTGGTGGTGGTGGAAAGCTGGCCCATCGGTGCGGGGAGGCCGGGAGCACATGGGCTCGGCGTCACCCCAACATTCAGGAGGAGAAAAAACACACAGACACAATTCATCGTCGATCACCAGGAAAATATAGGAACAGATGGGAAGTGGGGGGGAAGACGAAAACCCGGAAAATATGAGAAAACATGGGGGATCCTGCTACTTGTGTGTATTTATTTGTGTGTGTCCTTGGGCCTCTTCAGACATGCCAACGCCACGTGTGCGATGCTCTCCCAGGGGCGACGCGGGCGCGCCGAGAAAGCTTGCAGTGGGTAGGCTCCGTGGCGGGGGCGCTCTCTGGCCGTACCGCTCGGGAAGCGGTATGCTGCAAGATGGTCGTGCTACGTGTCTGGGCCGGGCGCGCGCCTCCGGGGAGGGTACGTAGTACTAGCATCTCTTTGTTGCAGCGCCGTGTTTAATACATGCTCCGCGTGCGGATCATGTATTAAAAAGGCAGGGTTTTGTATTAAAACAACGATGAGTGCATGCATACATTTATTCATACATGAATTGTGTATTGAAATTCCAATGTTATATATATATATATATATATATATCCTATGTCTGAAAAAATTGCCCTGGATTAGTATCTCCTTGTTTATGGAGCCACATGCGGACCCTACCCCTACCCCCACGATTTCTGAGGGGGAGGGCGGGGTTCACTTCGCTCGGGAGCCCCCGAGCGAAGGTTAACCCCACCCTCCCCCACAGAAATCGTGGTGGGTGGGGGCAGGGTCCGCCTGTGGCCTCCTACTTGTGCGTCCCGTTAGGCGGGCTGGGCCTGCCCGTCGGTCGCCGAAAGCAGGGATTTTTTGGACTCCCAAATCCCAGCCTACTTTAGGCGCCTTCCTACTTCAATGATCGCGCGGTGTTCCAACGTCCCTCCTCTGCAGGGGGCGGGCGGAGGCCCGATCTACTTCCAGCGCCTTCCTACTTCATGCTTCGACTCACGGCTTCCGACCGACGGGCAATTGTTGTTGCATGCTCTGGGCTTGTCGCCGTGCCGTTTGTTCCGATGCGCGGCTTTCCCCGTACTTGTTCGAGCGAAGCGGCTCCAGGGCGGCTCCAATGGCCCGATTTTTTTTTTATTTGCTCGAATGAAGCAGCTCAAGGGCCCCAAGAGGGCCCCCAAACGGCCCAAGAGGTCACCAAGACGGCCCCAAGAGAGCCTGAGATGGCATTCAGACGGTCTGTTTAACTCGAGCCTTGGCAGGTGCCACACACCGATCGCACACTTCTGGCAGCGGCGGTGGACGGTGGACGTCAGCAGCCGAGCCTCGCGCCAACGCACTGCGTCGCCCGCCCGGCGGAGCCCACCGCTCGACCGCCCTCTTCGCCCATGCCGCCTCGGCCTGGCATTAGGTCGGGCCTGTCCCCCAACAGGGGGATTTTCGACGAAAAATAAAAAATACACCAAAAATGAGCCAGCAATGCTCAACAAATAATATGGGGACTATTGTTTGAGCATTGTTTTGCCATTTTGGTTTACTTTCCAGGTATGTTTTATTTGTCGTCAAAAATCCCCATGTTGGGGGACACGCCCGACTTAAGCCTAGCATCTCCGCACCTGCTTTGTGCCACGCTGTGCGCGAGCACCCACGCTATCACAACTCGGGGGGAGGGCCGTGGTGCATGCATGCGTGGCCGATTTCTCGCCGAGTGTGGCCCACCGCCGCACTCGATTCGAACCCACCCGCCTCCACCCCCTCTGCATCATGTTCTTCCCCTCTGTATCGTGTTCTTCCCCTTCCGTTTCTCAATCCCCATCTTTGTGTCACGACCTGGGCCTTGGGGGGATGGCCGAGTTCGGAAAAGAAAGAAGCCGAGAAGAGAGAGACAGAGAGAGAGAGAGAGAAACAACACACGTGATATATACATATATAGATATAAGAGAAAGAGAGAGGGAGAGAGAGAGAGAGAGTGAGAGAGAACTAGAGAGCGAGAGAGAAAGAGAGATATGGAAAAGGGGAAGAGAGAGAACATAAGAGAGAGAGAGAGAGAGAGACATATCAGTTCAAGAGAGAGACATGAAAAGAGAGAGGGTTATGATGATACTGATGATGATGAGGAGGAGGAGGTTATGATGAGGATGATGAGGATGAGGATGTGGATCAGGATGATGGTGATGATGATGGTGGTGGTGGCGACACTGATGATGATGATGATGATGATGATGATGATGATGATGATGATGGTGATGATTATGTTGATGATGATGATAATAATGATGATGGTGATGATGATGATGACGATGATGATGATGATGATGATGATGATGATGATGATGATGATGATGATGATGCAGATGATGCAGATGATACTGACGCTGATGCTGCTGCTGATGATGGTAACGATGCTTCTGCTTCTTCTGCTGCTGCTGATGATGATGGTGATGGTGATGGTGATGGTGATGGTGATGATGATGGCAGTGGTTGTGGTGGCGGTGATGGTGCTGATGATGATGCTGCTGATGATGATGATGAGGAGGAGGAGGAGGAGAAGAGGACGACGACGAGGAGGAGGAAGAGGAGGAGGAGGAGGTGGAAAAATAGGAGGCGAAGGAAAAGGAGGAGGAGGAGGAGGAGGAGGAGGGGGACAAGGAGGAGGAGCAGGAGGAGAAGGCGGGACCCGAACGCCCCGCAGCCAGCCGCGCCGCGCAGGCTCCTCGCCCCAGCGCGCCGCCGCCGCCTGGGCGTCCGCCAGCGCCCCTGCGCCCCGCGCCGCCCACGTGGCGAGCGGGGGCGGGTGGGCATCGGAGCGGGGCGGCCGCGGGAGGTTCGAGGCTCGACGGTCGAGGTGAACGGCCGCCAGATACCATAGACATGACCCGAAAATCAAGCCTGCACATCAGAGGTGACGATAGGGGCGAATAGCCGAGGGGAGAGCAATACATGTAGTCAGGTGCGCCGATGATCTATGACTTCGAACAGGCTCCCGGGCGAATACGTGTCATGCACGCCCCTGTGCTATTAGCCTCTATCGTCGCCTCCGATGCACCCCGCGCCGCCCGAGTGGCCAGCGGGGGCGATTGGACATCCGAGTTGGGCGGTGTTTTGGGGCCTTCTGGAGCGCGCCACGGCTGTATCCGCCTCGAGATTCTGGGGCGGGTGGGCATCATAACAGGGCGGCCGCGGGGGGTTCGAGGTATATCACAGGGAGTCTTTAATCCTGCCCCGCCTAAGCTCTGGCTCGCAACAAACTCTGCGCGTCCTCCGATTGGCCCTGTCCTCCTCCTCCTCCTCCTCCTCCTCCTCCTCCTCCTCCTCTTCCTCCCCCTCCTCCTCTCCTTCTCCCCTTCCTCCACGACGGCGGCGGCGGCGGAATAATTAGTTGTCGATGATCGTTGGGTGTCGGCACCCCTCAATGAGGCCCCAGGAAGATAATGTTTTGCCCTCTATTTTTTTGGGGGTGCTCATGAAGTCCTGCGTAAGGTCGCGCATAAGGGCCTTCTCCCTCGCGCGGTGTGCCACGCTGGCTGCCCGCGTGAGCCGCGGCGTAAGGTCTCCATGTCGTCTCGCGTAAGGCCCGTCTGTTTTAGTCGTTCACGTGCCCCTCGGTCGCCTCTCGGCAGAGTTTTCGGCCGTTTCCCGTCGGTTTCTGAAGTTCTCTTGCCTCGGGATGCGTTCCAGCAACTACCCTTAAGTCGGGCCTGTCCCTCTACAGGAAGTATTCAGAAATAGCCAACAACTCGTCAGGGGACGATCTTTTTTTCCAAAGCAAGACTACTTTTGAGCATGTTTGATTTTGTTTGTTTCGTCCAACATCCGCCTGTAGGGGGGCATGCTCGACCCAAAACTACGCGGGTCGTCCCGAACGGCCGCCAGAGATCATAGTCACTCAACGGGCGAAGAACGGTGTAACATAAACTGTTTCGCCGTCGGGGGCGCCTGCCCCTGGGCGGCTGGAAAGTTTCCAGCCGCCCAGGGAGTCAGGCGCCCCCGACGGCGAAACAGTGTATTTTACACACCGCTCTTCGCCCGTTATAAGTGACTGTGGTCTCTGGCGGCCGTGCGGGACGACCCGCGCGTAGTTTTGGGTCGAGCATATGCCCCCCGACAGGCGGATGTTGGACGAAAAAGTTTATTCTATACCGTTCTTCTCAGGAGGGAAAGAAACACACAGACACAATTAATCGTCGATTTCCCAGAAAATATAGGAAAATATGGGAAGTGGGGGGGAAGACGAAAATCCAAAAAATATGGGACAATATGGGGAATATGTTTATTTATGTGTATTTACTTGTGTGTCCTGGGGCCCCTTCGTCTTCGCCCGTTAGGTCACGTCCCGACACTCGGGCCTGCGCCCCCTCTTTCCGCCCAGGTGGCGAGCAGCCGGGGGCGGGGGGGGGGCGGTCGGAGCGGGGCGTTTCCGCGGGAGGGTCCGAGGCCCCAGGGTCGCTAAAGCAGCCTTCTGAGGAAAAAGGATCGGGAGATGTAGAATATTTCGGGAGCGGAGAAGAGGGGGGTGATGACTAGGGGGGGGGGGTATCATGGCGGGGGCCATGACATTTCCCCATATTTCATGGCGCCTCTTCTCATTTCATGACGTCCCTGGCCCCCCCGCTGGGCCGCGCACATGCCGCCGGTCATGATTTGCACCCCCCCTCTTGGACATCCCCCTCTTGGCCGCTCCCGAACATTCGTTGGGGAAGAATTTCCATCAGGCGCCGCTGCTCTGACAGGCAAGCCGTTGCTACATTCGAAATTTGAATTTACAAAGGCGTCGAGGCAGTTCTCACGGTTCGGGGGGGCCTCCTCTGGGGCGCGCGCGGCGCCACGGCCGCACATCCTCGAGCTTTCTGGCCAGAGCGGGGCCCTTAAGGACAGGTCTGGGCCACGGGTGTCCTGCCGCCCATCGGGGGTGCACAGAACCCCCAACAGCGACACGTCGATTAGTGAATTTTCCGTTTCCGGTTCTCGAGAGGGCGCCGTGGCCGTTATCTCCCAGGCCTGCGCCCGCCAGGTTTGGGCCTCTGGTCGTTTTCACGGAACCGCGTTTTACTGCAGGGGGGTCTGCCCATCCCCGCGCCGAGCCCCGCCGGTGCATCGGCGGTGCGGCGCGGGCCTCCGACCCCATCCGCTCTGGGCCCCTTTGGGGCGGCCTCCAGTCAGGAGGGAAAAAAACACACAGACACAATTAATCGTCGATCCCTCAGAAAATATGGGAAAATATGGGAAGTGGGGGGGAAGACAGAAACCCAGAAAATATTGTGTGTATTTATATGTGTGTATTTATTTGTGTGTCCTGGGGCCCCTTCATCCAGGGCCTGGGGGGGGGTGGGAATGGCACGGGGCGGCAGCCGGAGGAAGCGCTGGAAGCTGGGCCGGGGCTCCGCCTCCCAGGCATCGGAGAGAAGTCTGCGCCAGCAGAAACTTTCGGAGGTCCGCACGGGTTTTCTCAGGAGGGGAAAAAACACACAGACACAATTAATCGGCGATTCCCAGAAAATATGCGAAAATATGGGAAGTGGGGGGGAAGACAAAACCCCAGAAAATATGGGAAAATATGGGGAATCTTTTTATTTGTGTGTATTTATTTGTGTGTCCTGGGGCCCCTTCACATGGGGCGGCAGCCGGAGGAAGCTGGAAGCTGGGCCGGGGCTCCGCCTCCCAGGCATCGGAGAGAAGTCTGCGCCAGCAGAAGCTTTCGGAGGTCCGCACGGGTTTTCTGGGTCCGTGCTGGAGCCCCCTTGGCGGTGCCTCCGGCGCCGCCCCTGGTGTGCTCAGCGCGCCAGGGTGGGGGTCCACTGCCGATTCAGGAATTTCGCGCGGACGTTCAACAGTTTCTGTTCACGTAGTGTTCCCGTATGCTATGGAAGCTGTTTTGGCATGCCTCAAAAAAGGCAGGTCCGATGATATCGGAGGGTTGGAACGCCAGAGGAGGAATTGGCCACGCAGCCAGGGCACGGAGCGCGTCCAGATCATCAGCACAGTCAACCACCTAATCGACAAAGCAGCATCGTCATCATCACCGTGCGCGGCAGCGGGAGGAGATCCGGGTGATGACAGATGAGCAACGAAAGAAAATGGTTTCGTCTTCACCGAAATTGGCGCGTCAGCTGCCCGAGTAAGGTCGCGCGTAAACGCCCTCGATTCCAGTATAGCGATCATCTTTCTATGGCAAGATCAGGGCGGACGGTGTTTTGCTCATGTTCGGCCTCTGGGGACTGGGCCCCAAGACCGACACACGGCTTGGGATGAGAAACCTGTCCCAGGGAAAATGTCCAGACATTTGCACGCGTGGTGGCGAATCGATGAGTCGTAGTCAGGTGACCTAAACATGTTTGAGAAGTTCTGATCGGCGTATCCCTTCACGGTAAACGGTTCCTGAGGGAAGCGGCTCCCAGCCCGGCCCATGCCCCGGGATGGTCAGGAAACAGTCCAGGATGAACGATTGAGTCACGCAGGGAAGGCCTCGATGTCTAGGACCAGCTTCCCTCCGGACCCTCGCATTTCATGGAGACTCTCTGCGGCGCGCGGGGGACGTAGCGTGTCAGGCCCCAGGCCTGGGCCCGAGCTGCCCCAATGCGGCGGGCGTCTGGCCATGGAGGAGGCCGAGCGGGGCGGCGACGGGGCGGGGCGCCTCTGGCAGCTCGTCAACCTGTGCGGGTCCAGCTCTTCTCGGATGCCCAGAGGTCGGTACCGACGCTGGCCACGAGGGCGAGTGGAAGGTGTGCTCCCCACGAAGGTCGCCCCCCCCCCCCCCCCCCCCCCCCCCCCCCCTCCCGCCCACCGCACGGAGTGGAAGCTCCCCCCGCGCGAGGGGCGGCAGGGGGGGGGGGGGAGGAGGGTCGGTGGTTCGAAGATGGGGTCCTGAGGGACGGGGCTCTGCTCTGAGGATAGGAAGGGATCCGAGGGTAGAGTTGCACCGTTCGAGGCGCCTCGTCCTTAGAACCCCCTGCCTCAGGATCCCATTTTCCTGGAGATCCGACGTAGCGAAAACGTTGCAGCATCGCGAAAAATCGCGCCCAGAGCCCCAGACCCCATCTTTCTTCATCTTTCGGGCCAGATCGATCTGTGAGGGTCCGGCAAGAAAAAAACGAAACCGCCAGGCTCGAAAAAATCGAGACGCCCCCAGGCATGCGACGTCCTGATTTTCTCCATACGGGGTCCCTGGAAGTCCCGACCCCTTCCCCGGGACCGGTTCTTCGTCCCGATCGTTTGCTGACGGTCCCGAGGCCCGGCGAGGGCCCCCCCGTGGCCGAACACGGCCAGAACCGCTCGTCCTGCCCTGCTTACGACGCGATCCTGCTTGGGTTGGCCCCGCCGAGGGGGGCTTTGCAGCTTCCCCGCCCGTGCCGCTCTCCGGCGCATGCCGGGCGGGCCCCCTCCAGGCCCTCGGGGCCACCATGGGAGGCGGCTCGGAGAGAGAGCGCCGGCTGCCGGGGGGAGAATGGTGGACCCATTGTCCACAACCACGACCATAGGTAGGAGAGGGAGGAGGAGGAGGAGGAGGAGGAGGAGGAGGAAGAGGGAGGGAGGAGGAGGAGGAGGAGGAGGAGGAGGAGGAGGAGGGGGAGGGGAGGGAGGAGGAGGAGGGGGAGGAGGAGGAGGGGAGGAGGAGGAGGAGGGGGAGGAGGAGGAGGAGGAGGAGGAGGAGGAGGAGGAGGAGGAGGAGGAGGAGGAGGAGGAGGAGGAGGAGGAGGAGGATGACGAGGGGGAGGAGGAGGGCCCCCTATCCTCCCCCTGCTCCACCGTCTAACCTATGATAGTGGTGGTGGGAAACCTGCCCAGCAGGAGAGGTCCAGGCGCGGGCGCTCGGGAGCGGGTGGGGGGCAAGCAGGTCCCGGCCCTAGGCTGAAGTCGGACACGTCCCTCTACAGGAGGAATACAGTATCCAAACACATAGCACCAAAACAAATTCTGGGGACGATGTCTCTGGTATCTTTGTTGGGCTAGTTCCCCGCATGTTTTGATTATTGCTCGCTTTCTTCCAAAATCCGCCTGTAGGAGGACATGCCACGCCTAACCCTGGGCGGCCCCAGAGCTGCCAACGCGGGGCCGAAGGGTGCTGGAGGGGGGCGCGTCTCTTCGCCCCCAGTCTTCTCCTCCCCCCCCCAATGGCGAACGCCTGGCAGGACCGCTCCCTCCTGCCGACAGAACCGGCCCACGGATACACATAATTGTTTTTCCTTGTTATTCGAAAGTCCTTTGATTTTTTGGGGGGGCCAAGATCCTCTCATTTCTAATTGTTCTATCCTCGGCCTCCTCCTGGCCACTAGGGGGCCAGGAACACTTAGAAACGAACATGATTTTGAAATGAGAATGAGCACGATTAGACATGAACGACGTGTACCTTCGCCGAGGGGAAGACGACCCCCGATCTGGACGCCGGGGGGGTCCTCTTCGGGCCTCGGTGGCCGACGAGCTCCCGCCAGCGCCGACATCGAGGAGCGCCTTGCCCCTGCAGGCTCCTCTTCGATCCGACCGATCCGGTTCGATATCGACTCCGGTCAGACCCGCGTCGATATCGATTCCGATCCGATTCGATATCGACTCCGATTCAATATTGATCAGCCACGCGCAGAGGGGGTGGGGGGAGGGGGGAGGGCTTCTTAGAAGCACCCCTGCTGCTTAGGAGGCGCCGGCCTCATCTATAGATGTAAGGCCGGCGCCTTTAAGCAGCAGCTTCCTCCTGAGAAGCCCTCCCCCCTCCCTCCACCCCCTGGTGCGCGCCGCCACGTCGATCCGATCCGATCTGGTCCGACCGATCCGATCCGATCCGAGCCGCCCCCGATTCTCGGGCGATGCGATGCGGCCCAGTTTACCAGCTTGACACATGCTCCTACCCCTTTGTTTGACATCACCTCACCTCGATGCCGATCCTGAGGATTCCCTCAGCTGCTGAGGGCCCATCCCTAGGATTGTCCTCGCCTTTTGCTCGCCCATCTTTACTCCAGATTTCGTAATAAAGGGAGGGGGGTCTCATTTCGGGGGGGGTCTCTTCCAGGTCATCCTGGAGGGCCTGGGGGGGTCTGGGGACGATGCTTTGGAGGGCTCTCCCACGGGGGAGGTCTGAAATGGCTTGTCTTGGAGGGTCCAGCCCCCCTCCCTTCTATTACGAGATCTGGAGTAGGGATAGGGATAACGTTCGAGGCCGGTTGCCAGTGCTTGCCTGGCGCTGCCGCCGTGCAGCCTCTTGCGCGGGCGGCCCCTCCTCGGTGCGGGCGGCTCGCCGTGCCGACGGTCGCCCGCGCTGCGCATCGCCTGTCGCTGGGGCGGAAGTCGGGCCTGTCCCCCCCACAGGGGGGATGTTCGACGAAAGACAACGAACACCTCAAAAATGATCCAAAAATGAGCCTACAGGGGGATTTTCGACGAAATAAGGAAAGAATACCTAAAAAGGGCCCCAAACATGATCCCAAAATGGTCTGGGGACTATGTTTTGAGTTTTTCTTACCTTTGTGGTGCATTTTGGGGTTTTTTTGGTATAAAAAAGTCGTCGAAAATCCCCCTGTAGAGGGACACGCCCGACTTAAGATTGGGCCCGAGGTTCCGAATCGATGCCGACATGCAGTGGAGACCCGTGCCAAGAAACCTGAGATCCTGGCGTCTCAAGTTTTCCAGCCAGGCGTTTTCGCACTGTTTCGGGCCCGGGGACCCTCACAGGTCGATGCGGCTCGAAGAATGGCGCAGGAGGATGGGGTTCAGGGATCCAGGCGCGATGTTTTACAATGTTGCATTTGTTTCGCGACATGGGATCTCAGGGAAACACCCTTCTCGCCTCCAGGGAGCCCTGGGTTTCTGGGGTTTCGATGGTTCTGCTGTGGAGAGCGGGACGTTCCCACGCCAGCAATCCATGGACGTCCTGGGGTCTCAGGGTTGCGTTTCTTGTGGAAGGTTTCTTGTGGACTGGCCTCCACTGTATCCTGTCCTCTGGTGGCTGCCCCCTGGTGGCGACCCGTGATCCAAATCGCACTCCGATTCGATCCGATGTTCCGAATCGATGCTGATTTTAGCAGAAAAATCACCATAAAGATCCATAGAGATGAATGTTTGGCGCTCCGCGCGGATTTCTTGGATCTGCGCTGGACCCCTCTGGCGGCGCCTCCGGCGCCGCCCCTGGCGCGCTCCGCGCGGCAGGGAGGGTATGGCGTTATTCTTCGAGACTTATATTGCCCTGTGGTGGCGACCGCCGATGATGGTCCTTGTGCCAACTTCTGGGCCTCCGGCACTCCGGAGTCGCTTATCGGCGGAGCCAAGACCTGGACGACAAGCAGGTGCCCTTGCTCGTCGCAAAATGGCACAGCGTCGTGCGGGGCAGCGCTTCCCCGGACGGGGAGTGGCTGCGTGTACAGGACGGGCTGTACCTCCCGATGAGGCTGCGCGGAGCTCACGTCCTCGTGGAGATGCACGGAGAGGTCCCCATCTTCTACCACGCCTACTTCCGGCTGAGGCTGCCGAAGGTGTTCCAGGACCTGTGGGGCGGGGTCCGTGCCGCCCTCCTGCAGCGCGGGACCGCCCTGCACTTCGAGGTCTCCCTCTCCTCCGACTGCGCCTGGGGGCACTGCCGCGCCGCATACGCCACGCGGGAGGAGATGCGGCAGCACCTGCTGGAGGTCCGGGGCGCGTGGCGTGCAGCGCTCAGCGGCCCGGCAACCTTGAGCAGGTTCGAGCTGCACGGCCTGTCCGCAGACACCGACGAGCTCCGCCGCTCGGCAGCGCTCACGGCGCTGGGCGTCGGCCCCACCCTCTGTCGGGTCTACCAGGGGTACTACTCCCTCTGGGGGCCCCCGCGCACGCACGCCCCCGGCGCGGTGGAGGACTGCCCGGACGTGCTGTGCACGTTCCGCATCGTGCCGCTTGACCCCTCCACGGGTCGGCCGGGCCAGCGGGCGGACGTGTCGTACCTCTGGAACTTCTGGAGGGCCCACAAGCTGAGCGAGGTCGCCGTCGCCGTCGGGCCGTCGTCGGAGTTTCTGGAGGTCTCTTGCGGCACCAGCCACGTCCAGGAGCTGCTGCAGCACCTCTTGACCCAGGAGGTCCTGGCCCAGGAGGAGCACCTCGTGGCGGAGGCCCGCGTCCCCCCTGGGGACGCGCGCCGCCGCCGCGAGGCGCACGGCTACGACGTCCACGTCCCCCCCGAGGCAGGCTGGGTGCTGGACCTCCCAGAGCTCCGCAGCCTGCACCGGCCGCGCGTCTTCCAGATCCGCTGGAGCTTCCGCGCGCGCGGGCGCACGGGTGCCCGCTCTCGGCGCGCGGCCTCTGCGCCGCCGCCGGACGTGGCCCGGGTGGAGGCCCAGAGCGCAGAGGGCGAGGCCGCCGAGGACCCGCGCATGCCCGGCTGCGACCAGCTGGGTCACGGCGGCGCCGAGTGCGCGCAAGAGCCTGGCCCACCAGCCGACCGGGGAGCCGAGCCCAGCGATGGCAGGGAGGCTGGCGGCGCCGGCGGGTCTGGCGCAGCCGCCGTGGCGCTGCCGTTGCCTTCGCCCCGCCGGCAGCGCGCTTGCTCCCGCCAGGATCGCCCAAAGGCCCCAGAGCCGGACGCCGCCAGGCTGGCCGCGGAAAACTTGAGGATCGCTGGCGCTTCCACTGGCGGCAAGGGGCCCAGCAAGGGGCCCGGCAAGGGCAGGAGCCTGCCTGCCGCGCCCCGCGCCGCCGGGGGCAAGGGCAGCAAGAGGGGCAGCACGCCACTCGGTCGCCGGTTCCACTGGCAGGGCCTGTCCGCGGAGCGCCTGCAGGGCACGGTGTTCGAGCGCGACGCGGCAGTCGCGGCGGCCGGGGCGCCAGAGAGGGCCCTGAACCTGGCGGCTCTGGAGAGCTTGTTCTCGGACCTGCGGGTGGAGGGGGGCGTTTCTCCCTCGGGCGGTGGCGACAGTGAGGTGCGGGTGCTCTCCGCCTCGCGGGCACAGCACGTTTCCATCGTGATGCACCGCGTGCTGGGGCATTCGGCCAACGTGGCGGACGTGGAGCGGCTCGCGCAGGGCCTGGAGCGGCTGTCCCTCTTGGACGGGGGGCGACCCTCGTCCGCGGCGCCGCTGCAGGACACAGAGCGCCTGGACCTGCTCAGCACGGCGCTGCCCACCGCCGAGGAGGCCGCGGAGCTGGAGAGCCTGGGGAGCATCCCCGAGGGCCGCATGCGCCGGGCGGAGCGGCTGCTGATGCCGCTGCTGCGAGTCCCGCGCGCGGGCGTCCGCCTGAGGCTGCTGCAGCTCGCGCGCGGCGCGGGCTCGCGCCAGGCCCACCTGCGGGCCCGCGCGGGCCGCCTCGCCGAGGCGGGGAGGGCGCTGCGGGCGTCCGAGGCGTTGCGGCAGGTGCTGCGGGCGGTCGCCCGGCTGGGCAGCTGGATCAACTCCTCAGATCCAGGGGCGCACGGCGGCTTTGCCCTGTCGTCCGCCCTGGGCAAGCTGCGGTATTTCCGCGCGCTGCGCGGGGACCGCTCCGTCTCGCTGCTGCACGTGGCCGTGCTCGCAGCGGCCGGCGGGGACTCCGAGGCCGCCGGGGCCCTTGGGGCGCAGCTCGGGCACGAGCTGCGGGAGCTGGACGAGGCCTCGCGCGAGGACGTGCGCGAGCTGGGGCAGGCGGTGGCCGACTTCGCCGCCGAGGTCGCGTGGTTCGCCCGCGAGGCCGAGCGGCCCGAGGGCACAGGCGGCGGCGGCTACGCGGCGGAGGCTCGCGAGCGGCTGTTGCGGGCGCACAGGGTGGAGCTCGCCCCGCGTGCCGAGGAGCTGCAGGGCGCCTGGAGCGAGGCCAGGGCCGAGCTGAGCGCGGCCCTGGCCTTCTTCGCAGAGCCTCAGGAGCCCGCGCCGGGCGGCAGCGTCGACGCGGGCGCCGCGGAGCGCCTGCTGAGGACCGTGGACGCGTTCCGCTGCGACCTGCAGCGGGCGGCCTCGGAGGTGCCCGGGGCATCCCCTGGAACGTGTTCTGTTGCAGGCCGCGGCCCACGGCAGCTCCCCACCCCTCCCCGGGGGGTCGGCTTCCTTCCCGCGGGCCCATATCCTCCACGGCCCCGGGGCCGACAGGGAGCGCCAGGATTCGCGAGGTCGAGGAGCACCGCCGGGGGCTGCAGAGAAAAGCAGACGCCGTCGGAGCTCCGCAGGTGCGCGCAGAGCCGGAGCGCTTCGCGGCCGTCTGCGCGGGCCCCGCCGCGCGGGCGCAGGACGCGGCTCGTGCCGCGAGCCACGCCCCCGCGGCAAGCGCCGGGGGCCGCCGGCCCCCGGCGGCGCGGGCGGCGAGCCTCCGCGGGGCTCGGCGGGCGCCGCCGGCGCCGGCGGCGCAGAGCTGAGGCCGTGCCGCGGCCGTGGCGCGGCGAGGGCGGCAGCCGAAAGAGGCGTGTCGGGGGCGACGATGGGGGCGAACATAGCCCAGGGGGGGAGCAGCACGTGCATCCAGGGGCGCCGATGCCCTAATTATGTCTTCGACGAGGCGCTCCCGAGCGAACAGTTGCGTGCAACTCAGAGATCCGACGTCGTGGTTTGTTCCATGCGCAGTCCCCCGAAGTCTCGACCCATTCCCCAGGACCGGTGTTTCTCGTCGTGGGTCGTTTTTTGACGGCCCCGGGGCCCGGCGAGGGCCCGTATAGAGGCCGAACATCGAGCAAAAACCTTCGTCTTGAGGTGTTCAGTGCGTTGGAGGTCTGGGAATGCCCGCCCCTGGGCGTTACTCGCCCTTGTCGTCGCCGCCGAGTGCCGCGGCAGCTGCCGCGGCGGCGGCCTCCGCGGGGCTCGGCGGGCGCAGCCCGCGCCGGGGGCGCAGTTCTGGGGTCGTGCAGCGGCGGGGGCGGCGGCTGAAGGAGGAGGTCCACTGCGGCAGCCCCAGGGCAGGTCTTCGACGGTGTCCGGGAGGGGAAAAACAGCACGCAGACGCAATGCAGCGTCGCTTCCCCCCGAAAGGATGGGAACACATGGGAAGCGGGGGGAAGGCAAACACCCATGAGATATCGGAACAGATTGGGAATCTTGTGATTCGTGTGTGTGTGGATTTATTTGTGTGTCCCTGGGCCCCTCGAGATGTGGCTCGTTTGATCCCGGCGTCGTTCTCCGTTGTCGGTCTCCATGCAGGGAGCGTTTTAGTCGTCGGGCCCCAGGGCCATCCAGCATGGATCTGATGAGACGGAAACCTCTAGGCTTAAGTCGGGCGTGTCCCCCCACAGGTGGACTTTGGACGAAAAATGAAACATAAACAAACAAAAACCCAAAATGTTAAACATTATTTCAAACATCGTCCCCCTATTACTTGTTGATTAGTTTACACAGTATTCGTCCCGTAGAGGGACAGGCCCGACTTAACTATAGGCACCCCCGGGGGATATGTTGGGAGATCTGGGGCCGCGGCTTGAACACACAGATCGGGGGATGCCTGGGGCTGCCGCTGCGGCGGCTGGCGCGATCCCCCCGCGCGCCGTGGGTCGGAAACGGTAGGCGGGCGCCTGATTACGATTAAGTCGGGCCTGTCCCTTTACAGGGGGAATGTTCAAAAATAGTCAAAAATAGTATGGGGACGATTTGTTTATCATTTTTGAATATTTGTTGTGTATGTTTTTGTTTTTCTCCCGTCCAAGACCCGCCTGTAGGGGGACATGCCCGACCTAAGAGATTACGGCCGCCTGGCTGGGGTCCGAGCACAGATGAATTTGGAGGGTCGCGCCGCACATCGCCGATGCATTGGCGATGCGGTTCGATCCAGAGCCCGATCTGCCCAATCCCGACGCCGCCTGTGCATCGCCGATGCATGGGCGATGCGACGCGACCCTCCGACCCCTACAGCCAAGACGCTGTAGTAAAAGGATCGCTCCGGGCTCGGGCGAGGCTCTGGCTCTCTGCCTCTCCTCTGGTCGACGTCGAGGACCTGCCTATTCGAAGCCGAGCTTCGCCGTGGCCAGGACAGCCAACGGCGCGCGGGTCCCAGGCGGGCGGCCTGCACCACACGTCGGAGGAGGAGCCGAAGAAGGGGGCTACGGCGGTGCGCCGTGTGCGGCCCGGGCCGGCGCTCCCTCTTGCCGACCTGTAGGGAGCCACACGTGAACCCTACCCCTACCCCCCACGGTTTCTGAGGGGGAGGGTGGGGTTCACTTCGTTCGGGAGCTCCCAAGCGAAGTGAACCCCCCCTCCCCCTCAGAAACCGTGGGGGATGGGGGTAGGGTTCGCATGTGGCCCCCTAACCTGGTGCACGCGGTCGCATGTCGGGGGCGTCCAAGGGGGGGACGGGGGCGAGAGGCGAGTGCGCAGTCATGCAGCGCGTCCTGAACAGAGTCAGGGCGGAGGGCGTTCGCAGTGGTTGGCCTTTGGGGGCCCCTACGGAGCCCTTGGGCCGTAGCCCAAACGACTCGGGACGACGAACCGGTCTTGGGGAAGGGGTCGGGGCTTCCCGGGGGCCCGTGCTGGAAAGGTCCAGACATCGCATGTATGGGTGGTTATCATGGCCAGGGCCATGATATCTGATGTCTCCCCCGATCTCAGCACGTTCCCTGCCTCCCCCCTGAGCCGCGCACGTGCCGCGGGCCATGATCTGCGAACATTCCTCGCACGTCCTCCCGCACATGGAACATGTCCGCGGCGAGCGAGGGGAGAAGTGAGAAAGAGGAGGCCTTCCCAGAAGGCTCGGAAGCTCCCCGGCCTTCTGAGACGATTTCCGAGCCTTCCCCGAAGACGCAGAACACCTCTCAGAAGGCGCGGGGGCCTCTGAGCAGTCCCGCCGCCCTCTGAGACGGCCTTCTCCTCCTCCTCCTCCTCCTCCTCCTCCTCCTCCTCCCCCTCCTCCTCCTCCTCCTCCTCCTCCTCCTCCTCCTCCTCCTCCTCCTCCTCCTCCTCTCCTCCTCCTCCTCCTCCTCCTCCTCCTCCTCCTCCTCCTCCTCCTCCTCCTCCTCCTCCTCCTCCTCCTCCTCCTCCTCCCCCCCCGTTCGCCGCCGAGCACGGACGCCCCCGATCCGAGCCAGAAGGCCGGGCGAGCTCGACCAGGGCGCGGGTGCGGCCCGCGGGAGCCCCTGCCACTCGGGGCGGCGGGCGAGGGGGGGGGATGCAGGCTGCAGTTGATGGGCTTGTTTTCCACCACCACCACCACCATGAGATGGAGGGGGAGGGGGTCCTCCTCCACCTCCTCCTCCTCCTTCTCCTCTTTCTCCTCCTCCTCCTCCTCCTCCTCCTCCTCCTCCTCCCCCTCCAACTTATGGTGGTGGTGGTGGAACACAGGCCCATCAGCAGTCAAGACGCTGGAATAAGGAACAGCTTGGGTTCGAAAAGGGGCTCGATGCTCCTTGGAGGTCCTGCCATGGCTTCGTTTTTCGGCCCTCCTCGTGCACGCAGGCGCTTCGGGAGCCGGAGAGGGGCTCTGCTCCCTGTCCCAGGTATCTTCTTTGGGTGGAGGCAAAGGGTGAAATCTGAAGTGCCGTTTCGATGGATTCTCGAGGCTTGAATCTGCAAGAGGGAAATCACAAGACGGATTGATTCCCGAGGCGCAAGAGCCCATATGGATTTCACCCTGAGCTTGATTCCTGCCGCCCGGCTGCAGCGACTCCGCCGCACGGGGCTGGCTCTCTCGGCGCCTCCCGGCGCGAGCGTTTCGCGGAAAGCGTCCAGCGGCGGGGCCGAAGCCAGCTGCACGCAGCAGACAAACAGTTGCTGTATGTATGCATGCATGCATGCATGCATGCATGCATGTATGCATGCATGTATGTATGTATGTATGTATGTATGCATGTATGTATGTATGTATGTATGTATGCATGCATGTATGTATGTATGTATGTATGTTTGTTTTGAATGTTGAATGTATGTGTATGTATGCATGCATTTATGTATGTGTGTATGTGCTTATGTATGTCTAGGTATATGCTTATGTATATAAACATGTGTACGTATATGTGTATGCTTATATATATATGTGTGTGGATGTGTTTATGTATGTGTATGTATGTATATACGCACGTATACATGCGTTGTGTATAACTGTATGTATGTATGTGTCCATGCATGTACGTTAACATGTATGTGTGCGTGTATGTATGTAGGTAAGTGTGTATGTGTGTATGTGTGTATGTATGTATGTATGTATGTATGTATGTATGTATGTATGTATGTATGTATGTACGTATGTGCGTATGTATGTGTGCATGTAGGTATGTATGTATGTATGCATGTATGCACGTGTATACGTATATGTATATGTATTCCTATGTGCATCGGTATTTGTGTATCGGAGGTTGGGGGGGTGAGATCGCAGTGGAACGGAGACCCCCAACCGGGAAATCGTTTCGTTTCGTTCGTGTCGTGCGAGCGGGCGAGGCGAAGTTGTGTGGGCGCGAGAGGCATGAACCCGCCGTTGCTAGGGCGAAGTGAAGAAATTCTTGACGCTTCACGTATCCCCACCAGCCTTTGCCGCTGCGTCGGCCCGTGTTCTCCCGAGATGGCTCGCTCAAGGCGCCTCGCCCTCCCTCGGCTTTCTACATTCCTTTGCCCGCGGCGTGCGCGGGCCGGGACTCACCGGGCGCTGGCCTCGGCCATGTCTGGGCCCAACTTTGGAGTCGGCCACATGCAGTGGCTCCCCCGTCGTCAGTATTGTGACGGCGGCTTCCGCCCCCCCTTGCACACTGGCGTGGTGACAGTGCAGTCAGCCTTGGCGGCATTGGCAGATAAGGACGTCGGTCAGGCACCATTGGGCGCTCGTGCGAAACGTCGGCTGCAGTCACAGGAGTGCCTTCGGAATGCACAAGCCGCACACCGCCCTGGTACCAGGGTTCTCGTGGTCGCTTCCATGGTGGTCGATTTTTACAAGGCTTTGGCCCGCACTCCCCTCAGTTGCGTGCAGGCTGACCGACGTTCCAAGTGAGTGAGTGGTTTGGCCCCGTTCTCCTGGCTGTCCGGCTCCACCTGCGGGTCCAAACCCTTTTTTGCTCCCCCTCCCCGTCGCTGGCTCACGTTCAGCGGCCGGTTGTGGCCTTTTTCGCTGGCAGTTGCTCAGCGTTTCTTTTGCTGCTGGCGCACGTTCAGCTGCTTCTCGGCCAGCTCAGTGCTGCGCCGTTAATTATCTGCTTCCCGTGCGCTGCTGTCCCAGCCTCGTTCTAACCGCCCTGTGGACTTTTCTTTGCGGGCCGCGAATCAAAAAGTATCCCCACCAGCCCATCCAGAAACGAAGCGGGGCAGCACACAGAGGAACAAGGGGCTG